GGCAGGAGTAAAGGCTTCAAAGACCCAAACTGCAGGAGATTGCAGGAGTACCGCAAAGTAGCTGATCTATGGTGGTCAATACTGTAATTAGGAACAGCAATGCGTCAAACAGGGTCTAACTGCATCTCCCCCCTGCTTGGTTGTCCGCTTCCTCTGCTTCGAAGCCAGGGTTTCAGTAGACTTGCTAACAGGGGCCCCCTTCGAAACTACGACGCAGTTCGTTTTTGGAGAAACAGGACCTTTTCGCGCCCATGGCAAAGACCCCGCCTGCGCAGATGCAGAGTGACTCGGTCATGGTGGTGCTCCTGGATACAAGGTTACTAGGCAGACTTGACCTCCCCATGGCCCCCTGCCCGCCGCACAAGCCCGAAAAGTCTGCTGAAACCAATCCCAGATTCCAGGTTACCGATGTCAGCACCAACCACGAGACCTGCAGAAGCTGTGGGTGAAGCTCCAGGGTGCAGAGACCAATCTACTGCGCCTGTATCCTGCTATAGCCTTTTTCCTCCGATGTTGACAAGTCTTCTTGAAGAATGAGTCAGACAAGAAAGTTCTACTGTGGGAAATCCTTAAGCTGCAGCGCTATGGCTCTGGCAGCACGTGAAGCGTGCAGATCGAACGGAATAACACTGGCTACTGAGGTCTCCTTCTGCACGCAGCACCCAAAGAACTGCCAAGTTGATGACCATGTCTACACTGCCACAGTTCGACATGAAACGGCTGTAGTTGGAACACCGTTGTCCTCCCTGAATGCCTTGTCGCTAGTGATGCTGCAGGAAACGAACCTTTGAGCAGGAAGTTTGGGATCCCAAGGCCTTGATGAAGACCATGGCCGCCCTGCAGGGAACAGATGGTTCACCTCATTCCTGGCCTCGGCCTGTTTCAAAGGTTTGTAGCCTTCTTCTGCAAGAAAAGATTTTGAGAAGCAAGCCGCAAACCATTCCAGTCACACCATGTCGCACCTCGCCCTCCGCCACCCAGCCCCTCCCAAAAAAATGGAACCTTTGTACTTTGTAAGGTGCGAATCCAAACCCCCTCGTCCCTCCAATCTTCCAATCGTCCACCATGAATGGGAAAGAGACCACGCAGAATCTGCACAATGGATGCACGGAACTAAGGCTGAGAACAGTTGCACGCGGAGGACGCGAGTGGATTGGCGACTACAGTATCAAGTCCAAACCTTCACGCCCCGTGAATATTTGAAGGGCCACCCCGCCAAACGAGCGCTCGCTGAGAACGAAGCAAAATGCACCCGCTAACATCTACCCAGTCAAACCAGAAAAACTTGCAGAGGAAACAAAAATTAGAGAGTAGTTTGGTGTACTTATTCGGGGGGCCGGTGTCTTGGGAAATACTCATGTGCTTCCCAGCATACCCTTAAACCATCGGCCTCGATGGGGTGGCATGCGCTGCCCAGCCGCAGATGGCGAGAAGAGTCAGGCAGTTGATAAGGATCACGAGTGCGGAAAAACCCACCGCACCTGGTAGACACTGCTAGAAGCAGCTTCTGCGTCAATAAATAGGGCTCCAGCCAGAGCTTTACGACTTTACCTGGGGGGTAGAAGCGGAATGCATGCCATGCACCACAACTGAAGGCTACAAGAGTCAGTTGCGTTGCAGTCACTGTTTTTCTGCATTCAGGAAATGAAGTGTGCCGGGTATGCACATCTCTGCACTATGCCCCCTGAACTATCCTGGATCGCCATGCGCACAGAGATCTCGGGTTCTCGATGAGAGGGCGTAGCTACCACGACAAGAAAAAGGATTCACACCATGACAAGGAAATTTTCGGCACCATGACAGAAAGAAAACTTACCACGACAGCGAATGAAACCTGAACGCGACAAGGAATGAAAACCTCGCGATGGTTAGGAGAAACCCAAACCTCATTTTCAAGCCTCAGAAGCTCCAAAACGATGGTTCCCCCGCATTTAAGCAGAAAATGCGGGGGAATCACCGTTTTGGAGCTTTTGAGGCTTGAAAACGCCAAAACGGTGATTCCCCCGCATCCGTGGGGGGGGGGGGTCTGGGGCAAGCAGAAAATGCGGGGGAATCACCGTTTTGGAGCTTTTGAGGCTTGAAAACGCCAAAACGGTGATTCCCCGCATCCGGGGGGGGGGGGGGGGTCTGGGGCAAGCAGAAAATGCGGGGGAAGTCTGGGGCAAACGAGAAAATGCGGGGGAATCACCGTTTTGGAGCTTTTGGGGCTTGAAAACGCCAAAACGGTGATTCCCCCCATCCGTGGGGGGGGGGGTCTCTTGGGCAAGCAGAAAATGCGGGGGAATCACCGTTTTGGAGCTTTTGAGGCTTGAAAACGCCAAAACGGTGATTCCCCCGCATCCGTGGGGGGGGGGGGTCTGGGGCAAGCAGAAAATGCGGGGGAATCACCGTTTTGGAGCTTTTGAGGCTTGAAAACGCCAAAACGGTGATTCCTCCGCATCCGTGGCGGGGGAGGGGGGGGGTCTGGGCAAGCAGAAAATGTGGGGGAATCACCGTTTTGGAGCTTTTGAGGCTTGAAAACGCCAAAACGGTGATTCCCCCGCATCCGTGGGGGGGGGGGTCTGGGGCAAGCAGAAAATGCGGGGGAATCACCGTTTTGGAGCTTTTCTGAGCTTGAACACTGCAACCACGTGACCACTTCCCCCGGGGGGGGTTTTGGCTCGTTTCTTCATTACCCAACGCTCAAAAGCTTCAAAACTGTGATTTCCCTCCCCCTCCTCTCCGCATTTTCTGCTTGCCCCAGACCCCCCCCCCCACCCCTCACAGATCGGGGGAATCACCGCTCTCTTTGGCGCTCTTTTGTCTCCTAGCCTACAGCCCAAGCTCCAAAGCTTCCTGATGGTCTCCTCTCCCCGCCCCAGAAATTTTCTGCTTGCGCTCCCAGGTCCCCCTCCCCCCCCCACGAACCACTTGCGGGGGAATCACCGCTCTTTTGGCCGTTGCACGCACTCAAAGCCATAGAAAACAGCGTTGCACATGCTCTCCCCCCACCGCTTTGTCTCACCGTCTAGCTTTCCGGCCCTCCGCAGACGGCCCCCCCCCCCCACAGATGCGGGGGAATCACCGTTTTGGCGTTTTCAAGCCTCAAAAGCTCCAAAACGGTGATTCCCCGCATTTTCTGCTTGCCGCAGCCCCCCCCCCCACGGATGCGGGGGAATCACCGTTTTGGCGTTTTCAAGCCTCAAAAGCTCCAAAACGGTGATTCCCCCGCATTTTCTGCTTGCCCCAGACCCCCCCCCCCACGGATGCGGGGGAATCACCGTTTTGGCGTTTTCAAGCCTCAAAAGCTCCAAAACGGTGATTCCCCCGCATTTTCTGCTTGCCCCAGACCCCCCCCCCCCACGGATGCGGGGGAATCACCGTTTTGGCGTTTTCAAGCCTCAAAAGCTCCAAAACGGGGATTCCCCCGCATTTTCTGCTTGCCCCAACCCCCCCCCCCCCAGCCCGAAGCCTGTGTTACCACTTGCTTGTCGAAGCGGGAAGAGGCAGGCATATTGACCCCTAAACCCTTATCAAGCTAAACCCTAAATCCTTGTCAGGCTGAACCCTAAACCCTTGTCAGTGTAAGAAAAAACCTTGTCGCTGCAGTTGTAAAGCTTGTCATTGTGCAGAAAACTGTGTCGTGGTAAGAACGTACTGTCGGTTCTCGATCTGCTCTCGCCCGAAGCTACTGAGCTGGTGCGGTCCAGCTCAAGCCCTGAAGCAACTATCTTGCCAAGTGCTGGCTTTGTCCCAAACTGTCCACGTAATCAATCTTCCTTTGCTTGAGCTGAGGTGCTGGTCCATTCTTCTGTATACTCCAGAACCTCCGGGCACTTTGTGGGATTCAGTTGTTTGGCAAGCTGCGAACTTGTCTGAGGTATGCCGCGACCGACAAGACTCCCTCAGGACAGTAGTTTAACAAGGGGCCCATAGATGTCAAGTGGTGAAGAAGATGCCGAAGAGCCAAACCGATCACAAGGCTGAAAAGGGGCTCCTGGCAGAACTAAACTTAATGCGAATTGGTTTCCAAGTAAAATTTAGGGAAGAGGTCTAGAACGAGATTTCTGAGTGTCATTTCCTTTGCATGAAGTCCACAAAACGAGGGAAGAGATCCGGCACAAAAGGCCTGAGAGGAACATAGTTTTTAGCTAAAGCTGCTTGTTCATAATCTTTAGGGAAGAGGCTAGAAGCGGGATTCCTTCAAGAAGCTTTCTATATAGGTTCTTGAATAGACAGAAGGCAACCAACAAGATTGAGGGGCAGTTGTTCTACATGTTCGTGTGTGGAAGAGGAGGCAGGGACAAGATTCCTGAGAGTAGATAGCTTTGTGTGCGTAACTTCCTCATGAGTTTTACATTCGGGAAGAAACCCGTAACGGGATTCCTGATAGCATCGTTTTCTTGGCAAAGTTTTTGTCACATTCAGTACGAAACCCGGACACAGCTGCTCTGAGAGTGGAGTTCTGGAATGCAGAAGCAAATGCCGCACCGAGACACCGACGACATCCGAGAATACTGCGAGCCGATATTCGGTTTTTTCTGTATTCTTCGAAGAGCAGCCCCGCCCAATCAGAAATGCTATTCTGAGTTCCGCCCTCCTCTTGCCTTCCGCCGAAACTTCAGAACCAGACCGTGGGGGGTGAGTATGTACGGTTCGCTAGGAGGTCCCTCGGTGTCTTCATGTGGTGGGTATGGTCAGCCCGCTTCGGGTGTCCTTGCTTTGTCTTCGCTTCAGTTCGACACAGCTCCAGGAACTCAACCGACATGCAATTATATAAAAGGTATCTATAAGTAAATAATATATATATATATAATTAGATATACACAGCTCTCGGGACAATTTTTGGCCACCTGCCCAGCCGCATCTAGGCATGTTAAAGTGTCGACTCTCACACTGGCGCACGCCGTAAATTAAATTCTGGTACAATGTCCAAACCGCAAGGCACCTCCTCTTTTAAGGAAGCGAGATTTATTGCAGCCAAGTGAAACTCATCTGAGCTCTACTAGCCTACCGCGCTCTCAGCCCATCTGGTACACCCTGACGTCGCCATTCTCCAAAGCCGCCAGGACCTGACCAACCACAGCAGGATTGACTCGAAGAGAGTTGACGGAACCAGCCTTTGTGTCCAGCTCACACCACAACTTCTTCTCTCCTGGGATCCACAACAGCAAAAGGCCGAAGGCGTGACCCGAGTAGATATTGTTGCCGCCCGGGATCACTTCCAACGACCGAACAGCCCCGGCATGGGCAGCGTACAACTCGCCTTGCGGCTTGCCGCTGAAGACATCCCACATGCGAATGACGCCATCTTGCCCACCGGAATACAAGGTGTTCCCAGCCGGAGCCGAAACCAAGGCGTTGACCGATCCTTCATGGGCCTTTGGGATCAAGCTCTTCAAGAAGCCGTTGTAGGTCTTCCAAACACGGATGCTACCATCCTCGTAGCCGACTGCATAGAGGATGTCGAAGGGGATCGCTGCTATGCACATCACCTTTCCCCAGCCGTCCGGCTCGTAGAAATAGACCGGGACATCGCCCCAACGCTCATTGGTGAACCAATTGGTAAACGGGGCTGTGCGATCGGCAGGACGGAGTCTCCGCGCCTGTGCCTGCACCTCCTCAGACACCTTGCCTTCCAGAGACGTCACGATAGCCGGAGACATGTCTCCGCCCCGGGACGTGTCGCTGCCGTCCAGGAGGCGCCGGCTGCCGCCCAGGAATCCCTGATGTGGATGAATCCCGAACAGATTCTTCCTCCACTCCGTGAAGCCTTTTTGGAGTGCACCGGGATGGCCCTTGAGCCTCGTTCATGGTTGGGATACTCTTAAAAATGTGTTTTTTATTCCTTATCCGGGCTTAAGTACCCTCAAAAATGTAAAATGGTACCCAACTATGACAAAGGATCGAGTCAGGCCAGCAGACAAAGATCGCATCTCGGTCAATCTGCCAAGCCCACTCGGCGTCCGGGTCGACTGGAACTGTGAGGGTTCCCTTAAATTTCCAGTGCCAGATGACCGTGAGGCTGTCAGTCTGACCCACAATGACGGTTTCCCACGTGGGGACGCTCATGCAGAACGTGGTCTGGACTTCGGTTGTGTTGTAGGTATTAAACTCCACGGAAAGGGTTCCTGCATCTTCAGGGCCTGAGCTGCGCCAGACGATTACTTCTGTCGAGCTGGCAGCACAGAAGAAGGTGGCATCGCGGAACGTGCTGATCGCACGAATGCCGGAATAATGGGCCGAGTAGTTTCGGAGGAAGTGGCCATCCTCAATCCTCCAGATGAAAATTAGCATGTCATCTCCACCACTGACCGCTTGAGTGCCACCAGCGATGATATCCACGGCGTTCGCTGACACGTATTCGCCACTGGCTTTGTGCCAAGGGAAGGTAGCTTTCACTCTGAACTTGAGCAAGTCCTCACACTGTGGAACTTCCTTCACCTCACAGCCAGGCTCCAGCAAGCCTTGCATGACCATCTCGAAGGCTTTCTGGTTCCACTCATGCCTGGGTGTCGTCGCGAAGTCGAGGCTCATCATGTTCTCACAATATGTCGTCAGCGACATGCAACTCTTGCATGCCGACGTGTAGGCATTGGCACCACCATTGCCACAGTACTCATCGCCATTGTAGCAGCATTGCTCCGGGCACTTGGAAGGAGTGCACCGCTCTGGTGGGAATGGCCTCTGGCAGGGGTTTGCGCCGTTGCAAGTAGTGGTGGCGCACTCGCCTTGACAACACGTGTCCTTGCAATTCTCTTCTCCTTTGCACTTTCCACTTTTTCCCATTTTGAAGAATGTAATCTTCCTTTTGAAGAATGACGGACCAAGGGCAGCCACGCACGAGAAAGCTGGAATGTCATCGCACTCGATCTCGAGACAGCACTTCTCCAAACAGTCATCGGAAGTCTCGGGTCCCTCACATGTGCCGGTGGGGTCATGGGTGGAGTAGGCGTCACACGTAACTCCAGCACATGAAACTTCAGCAAGCATTCGCAATTCCGATGCCATTCCCTCCATCGAAGCATCGCTGGAAGATTTCTCCATTTCTCCAGCCTGCATTGGGAAGACTGTGGCTGTGGCCATGACCACGAGCGCAGCGCCGAGGAGAAAGAGTGCATAGGCCGCCCGGCGGAAGACAGCACTTTGGTATTGGTGCGTCGCCTCCTGGGCGGATTCTGGCAAAGTCGGCGTAAGTTCGCTATCCACATCGCCGGGCTCATGCGGAGAGATCTGTGGGCTGTGCTGCAAAGCCATGGCAAGAGGTGGCCGAGCTGATAGAGGAGAGGGCTTAGGCTTGTTCTACGACTCCAGAGCTTGACATCAGCCCGCATGTGAGCCGGCCGCGGCGAAAAGTCCGGCCTCTGCACAGGGCCCACATCACTCCTTGCCTAATCTTTGCTTTGCACATACTGGCGCGATCTTTGAACGCTAAACTAATAAACCACACCCGGCTTCCGCCGCATTACCTTCGCAGGCCATACTTGTCGAAATTTCGTGCCCCAGCAACATACTTCCCCTAAGCACCCCAGGAAGGAATGTCTCCGAGATCGCAGGTTCCTGCAAATCCTTCAGCCCCAAAGTCGACCCTCCTAAACGCATCAAGTCATCAAGTTCCATGCCTCATCTTGTGGCCGTAGAACAGCACCTGTACGGGATCAACGGCGGTCATAGCTTGACCGTGAACGACAGGACGTGGAAACATTTGTCAATTAACAACGTATTTCTGGCATGCAAGCGAATGATGAGCAATCAATGTTACATTCAATTGAATTGCGGGAGGTGTGCTTTTCCTTCTCCGGACATTTGCGCTCCAACATACTCCAACGAGCTCAATGACAATCAAGACTGTAGCATGCAATCGGGAACCAATATTTCGACGCAGCTGATCTTTTTTGCACGTCGGAAAACTAAACCCTTGTCCCTTCAACCCTCAGACCCTCAATCCGACCCTAAATCCTAAACCCTAGAGTACACCATGTTGGTGATGACGGCTCTGGGGAGGGCTCAACTCGAGGAGCGCATGTGTTGGGACCCTAGTCATGTGACCTCGGGCAGGGCCCTCTTAACGCATGACGCGGCGGAAAGCTAAGGACAAGCTTGGACTAAGGCCTCAGTGAAGGATAGGTTCGCCACTTCGCGCACTGAGGATACTGTTGACTGCGTTTAGGACTGCCTGCTCGAAGCCATGCCATGGAATGTTGAGGAGCAAGAAAAGGATTACCATCTGGCCTGCAACCCTCCGAGGCAGTCGCTGCAAGCCATTGCGACCTGGAGGGAACTCCAACATTTTCGTTCCCAACAGGATGCAATGCAGAATTTGTTTGCAGTGGTTTTTTAAACCCTAAACCCTAAACCCCTCTAGGAGCATCGCTGGCAGTAGGATTCTTATGGGCCCACGCGCCTGAGGAGAGCAAACAGCAGCAGGAGTCGAAGGCGCTTGAGCCGATGTGGCATAACAAGCACGTGTGGATGTAGGGTGTTACGTTGTCCTTGAAACGTATGGAAAGATTTAACTCTCATCGAAAAAGCCATACAGTAGCAATCTGGGTCCGCCACCTGCCAAGCCCTGTTGCTCCTGCTGCGCCTTGAGCCCAGGGCTTAGTCTGTCGTGAGACGGTCTGCAGTTCGGGTAGGGTGCGTGCCGCACAGCGAGAATCTGCAAAGAACGTTGCTGTTGGAGATTGCTTGGTGCTTTGGAGGGCGGGTTAAGACATGTTACACCAGAATTGAAATCGTGCCTCCTAAGTTGCATTGGTGCCGAACTGGACTTCCTTAAACACCTGAACCTTAACACCCCAAACCCGAAGAAACTGAAGCTTCAGACAGACTTCCCCCATAAACTCCTGAACCTTAACATCCCAAACCCGACGAACCCGAAGCTTAAAAGGAAGCAAAGCCTAAAGCCGACCCTGGGATCTGCGTGGCCATGCATGTACGTGGCACATAGACATATGGAGGGGTACCTTGTTGGGGTCCTTATTATAAGGGGGTCCTACTGTGGGCATCTATGTTTCGGGGTCCCTATTTTCGTAAGCCCCCAGAAACGTATCCTTAGCAAGACCATGCACTACATGAGCTGGTTTCTGCGTGTGTGCATGTGGTAACATGTACACAAGAATTGTGTACAAGTCGATCAATGCACAAGTGCAAACTTAGCGGCGCAGACTTTTTAATGTGAACATTGCACTTCGGAACTCATCACGAGAACCAACAGTCCGTTTGCGTCGTATAGGCGTGCGATCATGTGACCAGATCAAGAAAGCCAGGTAAAAATGAGGTACGCACTTTATCAGGGCTATCCCGCATCGAGACTCTGCTGAACCTGTAAAAGAAGCTTCGAGACCCGTAGTGTTCCTGTGCCTCCGAAAGCCTTACGTGCTAAAGACCAAGACCAGAAGCTCCCGTCTGCCTTTGCCATCTCAATCGCTCGCATCTGTCGCTGCCTCTCCTGCAGATCGCCAGCGGTGCTTTCAAATGAAGCCCTTTTCGATGTTGGTTCCTTTGCAAAGCAAGGTTCTCGTAAACTTTACTCAGTAAACTGCAGCAGTGTACACTGTGCGAGACCCCTCGCTGTAGCAGCAAGAGGTGCTGCACCAGCCCGTGAAGAAATATGTCGTAAGAGTGGGGGGCCACAGCGTTCCTTTCTGCTCTTCTGCTCCCCAGAATCGCTGACCCGTCCTCTTCTGGCATGTCGCCCTTGCTGTCTTGCAGGACGGCGTACTTCATGTTTTGGGCGAAAGACCGCATAAACCTGGTGTATGATTGAGTCTGGGGCCGTGAGTTTCTCTGAAGAAGAGGTTTAAGCACTAAGCTTTTGTGGGCGGTACGAAACACCAGAGAAGGAAACAACTAAGAGGGGTCAGTCAGACCCAGGTGATGACCATTGTCCACAACTCTCCACATGGACAGCTTGCACGTACCCTCACCCTCGACACTGCCAGACCTGAGCTGCGTGCTGGGACATGAGGCTTCCGCTGCGCATGTGCCGCGCACGGGCGCGGTCCTCTGAGAAGCACATGTACCAGGATTTTGGGGGGACTGGGGTGCAAGTGCCATCGAAAAAACTCGCCGAGTAACATCACAACGACCGACTTCCAGGATGCATCTATGGATCCGCATGTGCGCAGACTGTGTGAAGAACCTTTGTGGTTATTCCATGGCAGGGACAATGTCCATTCGGAAGTCCCCATTGCACTCGACAAGAAACGGAGGTGTGCGTGCGTGCGTGCGTGGGTGGGTGGGTGGGCGGGTGGGTGGGTGGGTGTACGTGTGTGGCAAGCGATGAACACCAAATATCAAGCTGGACCGCAAAGCCCCAAACTTCTCTTCTTCAAGACTTTGCTGCACCAAGGACGACTACTGCTACTATTTCTGCTGCTGCTGCTGCTACTACTACTGCTACTGCTATTGCTAGCCCGTAAACCGCACACCCTTTTGGCTGCAAATGGGCGTTTTGCCTAAGCGGCGCCTGCATGGTACAGTACTGCTTGACTTTAGGAACATGTCTTCGCCCGCACAAGTTTTGCACGACCGATACCATCTGCTACCGCTGTCGCGAATGCTTCTCTACTACTTCTACTCCTGCATGGGCCCCACAAGCGGCTACAAGTCACAAACCCTCCGAACATGCTGCAGCCCAATCTGTGCCTAAGTTTCCCAACGTGCTGGGACTGAAGCGTTCCAGCCTTGTAATCCCGAACAAGATCCCAACAAAAACCTGCAAAACCCTTCAACCCCAAACCTTCAACCACGGGTGTGGGACAGGTCCTCTAGCGCTTCGACGAGATCTTCTTGGCCCGCCGGTGCGACCGGCTCCTCTTCAGCTGCCAGCGGCACGAAAGGTCTCCTTGCGGGGTGAGCTGACATGGGCTTGAGAATCATCTTGAGGATTCTTGAGGGCTTTGCTTGAACGTGCAAGTCTTTAGCATCAAGATGCTTGCAACTGGGGCGGTTGCTCTGGGCTCTGCTAGGGTTGGCTCTGAGAAGCTGGAATTGGGGCTGCTGCCCTCGCTGGGCGTAGCTTCACTCTGAAGCCATGAATGAAGCAACAGGGTCCCCGAGTAGCGACATCCTTAAAGGAGGAGATCGACGTGACTGAACAAGAGCCAACCCTAAACCCTAAACCCTCAAATGTAAGGCTGTCCTTGCAGTCTTGGCTCGCGCCGGCACCGACGCCGCCAAGGCCTCACATCGCCCGAATCAGGACCAAGCTTAGCAATGCATGCCAGGGCATATATATATATATATATGTATATGTATGGTACCCCCTATCTATCTATCCATCTATATATATATATAGAGAGAGAGAGAGAGAGACCGCATTGGGAAAATGTCAAGGAGGCGCACGAGCCTAAGTCTCAGCTTTTGTCAGGTGAGTGCTGTTTCGTTCGCTTAAACTGATGAAGCGAAGCAGAAAATCAACCAGGCTCTTGTTGATGAGGTCGGTCATCCGCTTGCCCCTGTCAAGCCACTTTTTCCAGAAGACTCGCCGGCTTACCAGCTGTGGCCTTCGCCATGGCTGCCGCTCTTGGTGCTTAAGCTCCTTTGCTCGATGATGCCTTTGCTTGGTCCGCTATCTTCTTGAAGTGCGGCTCGGCTCTTGGCTGCAGGGGATGGGAAGATGCCGACAGAGGCCGACGAGACCGGTTCTGGTCCTGAACTTCTTGAAGACGATGGAGATCAAGTGCCGGGGCTCAGAAAGCGCGCTCCGGAGGACATGCTACACCTCTGCCCGGCTTTTGACTCATAAACCACCCCAAAAGCTGGGTGGGGCGCGGAGACATGCGGTTCCAGGCTGACCTCAGTTTCCGCTCAATATGAGCTGCCCAAACTGCTTCGTTATCTTCGCTGTTGCCCTTCGTCACTCTACGAAACCATGCTGGGAGACCTGAGTCAAATTCACTGTCTAGTCTTGCAAGAGACAGTTGGCGAATGGACTGGGAGGTGTAGGTCCCGAAGGCTGATTGAGGGGCCATGACTTTGGGGCTTCGGGTTTCACACCTCGTGGTCACTCCCTTCGGTCTCTTTTCATGAACTGAAATAAAAGAGGGATCCTTGCCCCATACTTCTGCCACCAGCAGGCCGCCTAAGGTGCCTCCAAGAACGTCATGGCTACTTCGTATTTCTGGGCGTTCCTGGGCTCTAGAACGAAGGTTCTGCAACGAAGCATTGTGAACAACGGTACAGACAAGCCTACTCGTGATGAACCCGCGAAGCTTCGGCCCGGAATCCGGACTCTAGCAGCATTCCCTTTTTCTCTCATCTCCCCCTTAACCGCCCCCCCCATGGTATCCCCCTTTCTACCCCTCCCCCCGCCCGCCCCGAAGTAGCGTTGGTCCGGGCCCATCGTGGGTTTAGGGGTTGGGGGCCGGGGGGAGGTCGAGAATCTACCGCTGTTCTTTCCGTCTCCCGAGCTTCGCGCGGCATCGTCGAAGTCATCTCCGGCCTCTACTGTGAGGCCTGAAACCATAAAGGTCGGACTCGGACTGTCATGGGAACGACAAGCTAGAACTATTCTTGGCTGGGCGGGGCATTTCTTCATTCTCTATCACCCCTGCTGGCTGAGAGCAAAAGGTGTGGGGAGGAAGACGCTGGGAGGCGTCGGGGAAGAAGCTGATGATCAAAGTGAGCAATGTTTAGGTGTGACAAAGAAACGTCACAGCCACTAGACATACGTAGTGCCGAAAGCTAGCTAGCATGTGAGGGTTCTGTGTACTAAAACTCAGACACCAAAAGCCCACAAACCTCCCAAAAAAACCCTTCCTCTTGTCTCAAACCCCGAAGAATGCTGCAACTGCACTGTGGGAGCAGGGTCCCTCATCCGCCTCGAAAAAACTCAGAGCCTCCCAGACTTACCGTGGTGAGCTTGGATCCGGACTTCCGAGCACGAGGCATGCGAAGCCTCATTGCTTCGTAGGCTTGTGTGCAGAGTGCCCCTTTGCCAATGCCTGATTCGGGTGAAGCCTCTCCCAACCCAACGCCGCCAGTGGAACAGGAATGCTTGCAAGGAAGCATGAACTTGAAGAGAACAGGTGCAAGCACGCAAAGGGTGAGCTAAGGAGGGTTGAAAGATCTATGAAAGCTGGGCAAAGCTTTGCAGAAGGCAGAGAGCTCGAAGTATGCCCTTCAAAGGCTTCGAGTGCGTCCCACATGGAGGCTTCCGATAATAGGGGTACCCTTGTTATGGGTTCTCTTTACAGGGGAGTCTACCATTTTTCTTAGGTAAAAAGTTGTACCGCAATTGTATTTATTTAGTTGTCAGCTGCATGGATGAAGGCATAGGGACTGTCGAACTGGGCAAGGGGCAGATCCGCAGAAGACGGAAGTTCGACTGGGCAGCAGTGGCAGCAGCCATCCCAGCATGTGGAGGGGCAGAAGGCCGTTGAGCTCTAAATTGCCCTCCACAAGATTTCGAACTGCTACCTGGGCTGGCTGTAGATGAAGTATCCTGGCCCCTCGCAAGAGCGGCAACTGCTATGCACCCTGGCTCCCCAGAATGAAAGGGGGAAAGGGCTTCTAGGTCGGGGGTTCGGCAGGAAGGGTCTGTGCGCTCTGCTCTGCCCTGCCTACGGCCCCTTGGCCCGCTTCATTGCTGCGGAGGCGCCGCGGTCCCTAGCGGTGTCAACTTCGAGCACCCAAGGTGTCATTTCCCATGTGTGTAGATCCTAAAAGACGAGCCCCAAACCAGAGACGCTGCAAACTTAACCCGAAACCCTCCGCCATCATACGGCAACCTGGGAAAACCCTCACACAATTCGTCTATTCGGGATGTCTCGGACCAAGTGTATGACCCCAACTGCCAGAACCCTGCATAATTGCCCTCGAGCTTCTGCGCAAAAGCCCTACAGTCTTCAGAACTCTCGTGCACCTAATATAGGGGCCTTTCATGTTAGTATAGAATATTTATAAAGGGACCATAAGGGAATACTAGTAATTATTCCGACCCGAATGGTACACTCCAATCTCTGAGCCCTCCCAGCAGCAACCAAAGACCCTGCGGCGCTTCTTGCCAGCATGGATCTCATGGATCTGCTAGGCTGAGTTTATTCGAGCCCTTGGTTCACTGGCTGGCTCAGGTCTCAAGTTTCTGGACGTCGTGGCAATAAAGACCCCTTTTTTGGGGGGGAATCTCGTGGAAGACACCTACTTTGGCTGAATATATACTCGGTGTCCTGCATAATGTTGAAGCTTCGGCACTTCCCCAAGTGCCAGCACAAGGGCGAAGCTGGGACTTCTGCTGGGGGGGGAGACATGGGAAAAGCGCGGTTTGAGCTCTTGTGCCGTTCCTACAGGGCTCCCAAGTTTAGGGAAGCTACAGGTTGCCAGCAACATGGGCGCGGGGGTCTTGTATCTGGCCTCATCTAGAGAGCTGCACCAGATTTCCAAATCCTACCAGAGTAGAGCAAAACATAGCCTTCTACACTTGCACATGCTGGCAGCGTTTTTTGCTCAAGAATTGTCTGGAATGCTATGCACCCAGGCGTCCCCCAGCCAGAGAACTTTCGAGCTTCAAGGACCCACACGATCGGTCACCCATGAAGAGTGAAGTATCGGCAAGCGGCGAGTGCAAGTGGTGCTCTTCACCCGCATCGATTATTTTGGAGCAAGAAAAAATGGACTACTGTTGGTAGCGAAACGCAAGGTGCTTTACTGCAATCACTAAACCCAACTCACATCCGTGAAAAGTCCAACTTGCAGGCCGATCGGTGTCGCAATTTGATCGAGGCAGGCGTGGGATGAGTGAACACCGGATCTCATCGCCTTCCGGCCCAGATGCAGTTGTACACATTTTACACTCATGCCCATGTCCCCCATGTCTTTACACCATGTTGAACCCAAAACCGGCCACCAACCAGGCCTTGCAACTTGGCAATTTCTGAAGGCTTTTCCCCCCAGGCCAATGTGTTTGATGCACTCATGTTTTAAAGATTTTCAGGATTGGTTGGTTTGGCAAGGAATGCTGCACGCCGGGCCTCTAAAAGAAAGCTTCTAGCATTGCTCCTCCAAACGCGTCTAGTCCCCAAACAAGCGATACCGACCGGAGACCTCAACCCCGCGTTCCACAAAAAAAAGGCGACGTCACATGACACGACCACAACCCTCGTCCAAACTAAGTTGCCAGCAGCAACACAAAGCAGGGATGGGCACGTGGAGCCACAGCAACGTGCGAAAAATTAGGCACGACAGCCTTCTCGAAACTGGTGCCAACGAGGGCGAACCGGACGACTCCCAGGTTCCCAAAAGGGACCAGGCTGTTGAGGATGCCGAAGGCCAAGGATGCCCACGATCACGGCAGGGGGTTCAGTTCATCAGCACGTCCGGTGGATTCCGGCGGCACGGAAAGTGGTAGCCAAAGCATCGAAACAGCATGTTCAACCTGTGACCGCACAAGATCCGAGCGTAAGTAAGCTCAAGTGCAGGCAGGGCTTTGGGCGCAGTACTCACCAGAAAGGCTGCATGGCGCACATCCCTTGATGCGGTGCTTGCGGTGGTGTTCTTCGTGCCACTGGTAGGATGCGGGGAAATCTTACCACAAGTGCCCTTGTTTGGCTGCCTAGCTTTAGAAAACAACTTGAGATGTAGCTGCTACAAAGAGGAAAGTCCTTCTTAGGTCGGATGAGCTCACTGAGCTCACATCCATGAAGCATCCTTGGGGTTCCCACGCCTGCCTACAAATTGCATGAGTCAGCGCCCCGCAAAGTCTGACTTCAGTCATGGGCATTCATCAAACTGATCAAGCTGAGGTCTGTTCATGGTACAGGCCGTCATACATGTTAAACCTTCTGTGCAAGTGTTCGTGAGAGGCCTCGTTAATATCACCTTGTTGGGTCCAGGTGGGTCCAGTTATCTACCGAGACCACTTAGACTTACACATGTGAGTCCACCAACAGAAGGACTTGAAGGACTGAACAGATCTGAACCGCAGATTCAGGTCTCCCCCCCCTGAGTCGACAGACCGCAAGTGCTGATCAGCAGCCCTATGGACTGGCTCACAGGTCTTTGGAAACTGCTTTTCTGTGCTGCAGCTTTGCAAGTGACTTTTTCTTGCGCCTGGCTGACAGTAGACCCCCTGAAATCACAGGCTCATGAGCATCATCCTCGGGTCTAAGTCAAGCTACGACGCAACCTACACGGATAGCGCTACTTAAGTCCTACCTGTGCAGGCGCTGTGTAAGAAAAGGGCCCTGCATCTCCTAAGGTCCCAAACTGCACTGTTAGACGGTTAGGGCTTTGATCTTGGACAGCGCAGTTGCAAGTCCCAAACCTTCCAAACTCTGCCTCAAAACCTCAGCTCAACGAGGTTGCCGTCTCAGTCGTCCCAGTTCTGTAACGCATTCGAGGAGGTGCAGGTCTCAGGCGATTACCTGCGCAGTCCGGAACTACCCGAATAGTTACATGGGCCCCCCGTTTTAAGGGCCCATGCCATGTAGCTACCCCTAAGAAAGGGCCAAAGCCCAAGGCCCCACGATCTGACCTCAGCCGCATGGGCGCTGCCAGATTTGGGGTGAAATTTACAGTAGGGTTTAGGGTTAGGGTGGGCTTAGGGGCTAAGCTTTGTGCCTTAAGAGGTTTGCGGTCTGAGGTTCAGGGTTCGTTAAGCCTAATTGATAGCAAGGGAATGGGAATCGTGTTCCTCAAGGACGTTCTTGGTTACCTGACTAAGACGCCTCCTCAAACCCAAAAGTCGAGAGCTGCTCGTCTCTGTGTCTCTGTGTCTCCGTGTCTCTGCGTGTCTGTGTGTCTCTGTGTCTGCGTGTCGGTGTCTCTGTGTGTCTGTGTGTCTGTGTGCTTACCTTGCAGGGCTTAGGAATGTCCATCGTTGGCAGAGTACGCCGGGCCTGAACTGGAACTTGACAGTGGGGATCACGACGTCGACGCCATCGTCCAAATCCGATGCCGACACCTCGTGCGGAAAAGGGGGCGGTTATGGTCTCATTGCTTGACGTCGGAATGTGGGATGTTGGGGCTTATAGGGCTTAGGGTATCTGACTTCGGGGGTTCGACTTCGGGTTGTTGGGGAAAGGAGAGGGCATGGTCGCCAAAGACCTTCGCAGGGGCATTGCACCGGCATTAGGTCAGGCAACTGCACCAGCAAACATCGCTGCGGCCTGTGATTCACTGTTAAAGCTCCACTAAAAGCCAGTCTGTCGTCGGGCGTTTTCTTGATTCACCTCGAAAGTAATGCATGCTGTTCCCTGAAGAATTAAGCCTTCTAGAATTACCGCTCTGTGTGCGGGCTTCCGGAGCTGTCCTGACACCGCCCTGTCAGCCTCAGCCTCAAACCCTCAGCAACCGTACGCCATTGGCATTCCTGAACTAAGTATGATCCCAAAGCCCTCGATCCAGTACTCTGCACTCTCAAACTTCACTCTGAAGATAGACAACATCTTGCCCAGGCTCAGCTTCGTAAGGATGATTGTATTTGATTTTGAGGGCTTGCCATTGGCCAGGCTACACTTTAAGTTTGGGGGTTGCAGCTCCTTCGGATCCCTGAGCCTGAGAAGCCATACATCTTACCTTCAACCCCCATAATGAGCTAAAGCGAGTGTGCCTCCAGGGTCAGGTAGGTCTTCTTTGGCGACAGCGTCTGTTTGGTGATCGTCTCCCAAAGCGTCGTAATCTCAGGAGGCCAGACTTGAAGGCTCTTTGCGAGCTTAAAACGCGTTGGAACTGTGGCAGTTGCAGCTCCAGGGATGAGAGCACTTTACCAGCCCGAAGGCTTCGAATGAGGTCATCTCCCGAAACCCTCAACCCTAAACCCTGAAGCCTCAACCCCAGACCCGAAACCCTAAACCCTAAACCTCTGCATGCATCGAGATGAGCATCTTTCATTGGAGCAGCTTTCACTGCTTAGGTTTGAGAAACGTGCGAGAGCCCGTCTCTGATTCGAAGCATGTTTCACGGGCACGACCCTTCTTAGTCATAAAGTTCTATGCCCTGTAGGAAAGCTCCACTGGCTGGAAGCACGGTGCAGAAAGTGAAGGGAATGATGGCTCAATGGGCATCGCAGGGATCCCGTTTCTGGATATGGGAGAAGATGCCGTCAGTGACGTGAATGTGCCTCTTGAAGACTATTGTTTTGTGTAGCGCCGGAAGCGCTTGAAACCCTGCCGAGCCTTCTCCTGCAGGCGCTTCCTATGCGCGGGAATGTACCTCGCGACCACTCAAGCTTCTGGGGGTGCACGACCTAAGCTCTCCGTTTGCTCAGGACTGGGCGGATACTGCCCAAATCGAAAAAAAAAAGAACGTCGACAAGTCCGGTTTCGGTAGGAACCTTCTTGTGTCTGGGTTTGCCTGACCAACAAAAGTGGCTGTTTTCTTATTGGCAGCCGAGGATCCTCCATCATGCATCCGCGCAAAACCGTCTTTCTATGTATCTTTGCTTGTTGGCGACTTGCCACGTCTGAGTCTGGGTTGGACTACATGCGCTTGCTTGCGTTAGTGCTGTGCCTGAGGATCATCCAACTTACCGTCCTTGTTCTTTTGATTGGCGCGCTAGGCCTACCCATGGCCGATCTTCCATCCGGCTTTACCCGTTTGGTCAGATTGCGTGCTTGTTGGTTTGCTCTCCTGGGCTTTGGGGCGTAGGGTTTCAGGGATCAGGGTCTCAACCTTCAAAACAGTGTCGCAGCGCACGAATTGTACAAGCACGCATTGCCCGAAGACATGATCATGACCTCGATGCTGACCTGCAAAGTCTGGACAAGAGGCTCAGAGCTTTCAGCTTTGAGATTCAAGAGGAGCACGGTTCGAGTGCTTCAGTGGAGGCATGGCAAGACACCACCTGGAGATGAGCAAAGCAGGCTCTACACCCTGAGCTGTGGCTGCAGCTACGTGTTAGGTTGGCTCCCCCGGTTCCTAGTAGGAATTGGGGGAATTGGGCACCCTACATAACATTCCCTCATTCCCTACTAAGAACCAGCAAGGGCAAGGAGACATCCGCGTCGCGGTGCCTCTGCGGTCAGCCAGTCGAGGAACTGCTTCCTTGCATAGGGGGGGGGGGGGGGCGGGGGGGGGGGGGGGGGGGGGGGGGCGGGGGCGGGGGGGGTGGAAAAGGCAGTTGGGATGTTCCCGCTTGTTACGAACATTTACGAACAGCTCCTAATAGGGATTGCATTGGGGGGTACTACAATCCCGATTAAGGAGCTGTTCGTATCAGGGGGAACATCCCAGGTCTTTTCATGCTTAAGGATGCTTCAAGGATTACAAGGTTCCGGTTGCGGAGGGTTGAAGGCACCTTGAAGGCTCACAGCCTTGCAAGCTGCCGCCGGTTCGGTTTGTGAGACTCTAGAGTCTTGGGAAGGGTTTCGGAACTGGTCCGGCAGGATCTGGGTGCAAGTTGGCCCGGTTGTTGCAACCTTTCATGCGGCAGACCTAAGCCCCCACATATTGCTATCCCTTCTCATGAATCTAATTTCCTTTCTCGCCGTCTGCACTGCCCTTCCAGCTTTGAGCTTGTACTCTGGAGAAGTGCTATCGAAGTCCCGCGTGCAACGGTTTGAGATCTGACTGCCGGGCGCAGTAGCAGCCGAGTGTCAGCGTCACGTCCCCCAACTTGCAGTCTACCTGCACGCAGAATATGAAGATCCATCTTCGTGGTCAGCAACGCCTTGATCAAACCTATCTTTCTAGCCCAAACAGGCCGACTAGCCTTCGCGAATTCCATCAATGATGACTCCTTGCTTTACAGGGCCGTTGTTGAAATCGATTGTGGTCCTTCCTGCTGCCCTTTAGAGCAATTTCAGGGTGGTTCCTGCTGGAGGGAGTGCAGGAGTACGGAAGATGTAACGTTCGAAGCTGTTTCGGGGATGTCAGGTGGAGGCGCGGGCCTTGGACTTTGTGAAACTTCTGAGAGCGAAGCCTGTTCACGTTGTCCACATTCTGCTTACTTATCACGGGTAACGTAGCGAGTAAATGCACTGTAAGGCTCGTAGTGTTCATGCTGCTTCGTCGAGTTCGGGCTGAGCACTCGTTGGCTGAAGAACCGCCACAGAGTCCAGCCCGACCAAGCCTTGTCCCACGTGGTGAAGCCTTCTGGTCTTGCTTTGACCTGACTTTTTGACAAGGGTTTCTCATTCTCCGCCTTGAATCCTAAAGGTGAAGGTTTGGGGCTTCTCAAGGGATGTAGGAACAAGCCCTCAACACGAACCCATCCTAGACCTGGACCTAAACGAGCTACCATGTCAAGCCAACTCGCTAAAGGGGTCCTCGCCATTTTTGGGGGGCCAAGGTTGTGAGACAAGTGCGGAGCTGTCGGGCTTTGAGGTGGCTCTGCCAGCATCCAAGCTGGGCATGTCCTCCGACACCCTGCCATGACGGAGCTTGTTGATGCAAGCGTGTTCTAAGTTGTAAAGGCTACAGTAGTGCTTGTCCAATTCAACGATGAGAACAGCCGGAATCCGACTCTTAAGCCGTCAGCTCTACTCAGCGTGGCAAAGCAGCACGCTGGCTCATGGAACGGGATGGCGGACTGTAGCAAACAAACGATGCACCCAAGACTGACATGAACTGCGCAACACTTCCCGAGAATGGCAACCCAGGGCGGAAAAAAAAAAAAAAAACAAAACAAAAAACAACAAGCGCACAACTGTCCCCCGGGTCCACCCACCCTTACTTTGTGATGGAGACTCGAACGAAACAACATAGGTTGCAGCACACCAGCTACAGGAAAAAACACAGGATCCTGGGAAGGCCCAGAGCTCTTGCTTTGGGATCCAGAAATCCCAAGCCTGAGAAAGGCGAACCTGAACCCTGGAACCTGTAAAGCCTCCACCCCCCCAACCCCAAAACGCTGTGATTGTGAGAGGGCGGACCACTATCTTGAGCTACAACACCGGCTCCAGAAGCTTCACCTCGAATCTCTCTCCCGAAGGCTTCTCACTTCTACCCTCGACCCTTTGGGCGCAGCGCCGGCCCCATCACTATTGGGTCATGCTCCTTGCTCACTGTCTTCAGTGGCGGGAGAGGCTCGGACCTGCAGTTCAGCTGTGGAGGGTCTGGGAGTTCAAAGTCAGGTCCTTGGGGAGCTTCGGGCTGTGTACAGTATACCTAGGCAAAAGAGTAGCCTAGGAAAGACAAAGGGTGATAAGCCAGTCCAACATGGGCCAACGGGCTCACGGGCCCAGTGGCTGACAGGCTCACCGACCCGTGTTTTTCTGGCTAATCAGGGCTTCAGCCTTCACCTCAAACACTTCCCAGCAATATTCGAAGATTATACACGCTGCAAACTAAAAAGTGCGGACTCATGCTGCCTAGGCTCGGCTTTGTGTAGGGCTCGAGCTAGGGTCCACTGTATGCTTCCACGAAGACTCAGAGCTGGGGTCGGGGGCTTTCTCCCTTTCTCCCCCTCCCTCTGCCTCTCCCCCGTTTGCCGCAACTTGGTCTGCACTTTGCTAGTCACCCCCTCTTGAACCCTTTGCGGAGATTGGCAAGGTCGATTACGGCGCTGTCCCGAGATGCGAGGTGGACGAGCGTGGGCGGCTGCAGCTACTGCTGCAAGCCTTCTCCACTCCACTCCACTCCTTTTAGATCGACTTGATATTATCGAGGTGCATAGGTCGTGAGGATAGGTGCTCACAACAAGCATGTGCTGATTCTGTGTATGTACTCGTTTGAGCAACCATTGAGTCGTGACACGTCGTCGTTTTCGGACCGAACTATCTCTTACGCAGACTGCCGAATCAGCCGAATCAAAATCGAAAATTGGGCAATGAGTCGAGCCAGTGTACATCAGTCCGCTAAAGCACAAACAGCCCTGTTGCGGACGCTCTTGGAGAGAATGACCAAACGCATCTGTGGAAAAAAAGGTGCATCAACATTTGTTCAACCCCCTCGGTGCACGCTGCACATCGGTGGAGTATGTGAGAGCTCAAACCCGATGTTTCAACACCCTAACCCTAAACCCATCTGAGTGTCTGTGTGCAGCAAGTCCTCAAGGAGATGCTTGCATTGTTTCACGAGTGCAAGAACCGGCCACAGTGCAGTTCCAGAATTTGGCGGATGTTTGCAGATGTGAGAGAACACCGGTGTTACCATAAATTCTCGTCACTACCTCCTCCTTTTTTGATTGGCCAGCCTTTTCAGGAAGCCTGAACAACCTAGTTCAACTGAAGACCGCCCAAAGCCCAAACTGCAGGCAACGGCTACACGCCTTCATGCGTGCTCCCAACACATCCTCTCAAACCCTAAAAACACTGTTTGCCTAAGAGCCCGCCGTTTCTTAAACAAAAAAACCAAGTGTAAAAGACAATAATCCCTTTATTACCCGTATGAGGAAGAATAATTTGAATTTTTTTTTGGGGGGGGAACTTCAGCAACTAGTAGTTAGTAGTAAACACTACCTGACCTGCGTAACAACGCAGACTCAGCTCATGGCAGCACCCAGAGAGGCAACGCCAGCGTCACAAAGGCATTCTTGAAGTCCTCCACCTCCGATTAGGGTGATTAGGGCTTAGGGCTTAGGAAGTGCCTTGACAATCTGGTGATTGGGCAGAAGCAGGAAACGACAGACACATTCATTAAACCAATCAAGCAATCAAAGTGTAAACATGTTGCCAATTGTAGTCCCCATTCTACCTCCCTCCATGCCGTCGCCATGTCGTTCAAGTTACGCTTGCTAGAAGACCCGCTTCAATTAAGATCGAAACCTGTGCACCACTCCTTGGTAGCCCAGTAACCATATTCTGAAAAGGGTGCCCTTTTTGGGACGGCTACTCTATCAGGGAAGGGGCAAGAGGGTACCGCTGGGCTACCAGGACTCTATGGGCTGGGGTCCCGAGAGGCCAAGGCACCTTGCGGTTTCGCAGGGTGACGATCTTCAGGAGCTCGGCCTTCGCTTTTGGGGGGGGGGGGGCCATTGAGGGGGGCTGCGATTTTACAGGGTACCTTATTGAGGGGTACCTTCTTTCTACTAAGGGAATCCTACTATCTGGGGTCATATAATGAGGGGTCCTAAAATCGTACAACTTGAGGGACCAGGTCAGCTTCGTCAACACTTGTAGAGACTATGAGCTGCTTCGAAAAGGCCAGCTGCCAGCAACCGTTTCGGAATCTTCAACAAGTCGACTTGTGAGAGGATCGGGATTTTTGCGTAGGAAAACCGCTATCTGAGACAGAGATTCGCAATGTAGGATATGGAGGACTGCATGAGTTGTAGCCAGATCCAGAGGGTAGGGAAGGGCTGGAAGTGTGGGGAGAGGGGAGTGGGCACTGAGGGGTGGTGGCGACGGCTAAGGTGGTGATGACGGTCTCGCTCATGTCTGCAAAGTAAGCGAGATGGCAGCGGGCATCGAGAACAGTGGGGAGACTATCAGAGGTCTGGGAACTTATGAGCCAAACGCACCATCACACGCAGCACCATGCATGTGCTCTGACGATTTTGGCCCACAAGGAGCTTGACCGCCAGAACAGCTGGGCCATGTTTCCTGATGCAGCCTTCAAGAGCGCTCTTCCCTCGTCCAGTCTATCAGAGCCTATATGCAGTTTAACCCTAAACCCTGAACCCCTAAAGCCTAAACTCCTAAACCCCTAAATCCCTAAACCCCCAAGTCCTAAGCTCCTAAACCCCTAAACCTTATAACCCTAAGGCAAAAACTCCCTCGGATGCCCCCTGAGGTCTTCGCGCTCACGAGGCCGGTCACCATGGCAGTGGTGGTGGCGATGGCCGGGATGATCTTCCCCGCGGTCATCTTGACCTCGCTTTGAGAGGATCTTTTTGAGGTCTCAAGGGGTCCCAACGTTAGGGTTTAGGGTTTAGGGTTTAAGGTTTAGCGTTTAGGGTTTAGGGTTTAGGGCTAGCCCTCGCGACGACCACGGCATTAACGCCATGTGGTCTCTAGTCTACTTGTATGCTGCGTTAGCAACGTGAAGTACATCTGAAGTACACCCCAGATCCAGATCCAGATCCTCAAAATCTACAGGCACCTTGAGAAAGTCCACCTCCTGGATTTTGTAGTTCCGGGCCCGCCTCGGACGGGGCCATGGTGTCACGTGCCATGTCATGTAGGGGCGTTAGCGGTTTGACCCTCTCCATGGCCCTCCCTGGAGGAGGTTCTCAAAAGGATCTGGAAGGGGGCTGTGATCCCAACGCCCAAAACCACAAAACCACAAGCGCAAGCCCAACGTCGACTTCTGCAGGGGAAAGGGTGAAGTGGTAACTGGCCTGAAAAACCAAGGTGTGGGGCTACCATGAGGAGTGCATGAGTGCCTGTGGTGGGCGCCTACGCAAACTCTCCCTTCGCTTGGAAGTGAGGGCGTCACTCATGACGATGTCGGGTTTGCAAGTGAACTCAAGGTATCGAGAGTGTCTGGGGTTGTGTTGTGCAACTCGTGCATGTCCATGCCCTCAAGGACCCAAAACTTGCACTGCGTGGTGGAGCTCCCCCCCAAAGATTAAAGAAGCTCGGCAGCTTCCAAAGCTCAAAACACCCTGCTTGCGGGATGTGCTACGATCTTGCGGGGTCTGTAGCTTGGATGTTGAGGCTCGTGATGAAATGCTCGTTCTGACGGGACCTTCTGCCTGGGGGCCTAGCTTGTGCACCTGTCCTAGAAGAAAAGACTAAGACGCTTTCAGCGCAGAGGTGTCGCAGTTTTGTCAATTGCTGGTGTAGCTGTCTGTCGACATAACTGCTCAGGCCAAATGGGAAACATTGACCGGACCGCCTTCCCATTCTGGAGGCTGTTCTGAGGCCGCGGCAAATTTGCAGCTGCCGCGATGAACTGAATGTGGAAGTTCGAGTCGTCGTCCTGAACAAACGAGTTGTGGACTCAGGTAATGAACCCCTCGATCTGCCCGAGGATGGCATCTTGCACACGGCCCAATAACAACATCTTGCGAGAACGTTGATTTCTGAACACTGACAGGAAGAACCCCTCCCAGGGCAGAGCATATTGGTCTCATGCTCTTTGTCGGAGCACCTCCAGCTTTGAACCCCCAAAGTCCTAGAGCCGCTAAATGCCAAGCAAAATTCCTCAAACCTTTCCTCATATGGGGATTTCCGAAAATATGGGGGGCACCCCTCATATACCCAAAATGCTATGATCCCTTTAAAGAACCCCCCCAAAAAGGGTACCCCTACTGTCGGAAACCCCCATATGTCAAGGGCACAAAATTGGCCAAGCAATCTGCAACCTTCAGCTCCACAGCGCACCAACAAGCCTTCAAGCCACACATTCCTGGATTGTCGAAATTTGGGATGTTGATGGATGTTCCCCTTTCAACTAAGAGTCCTTACATGATAATCCCCATTAAGGACTGTTACGATAAGGGGGAACATCAGGCGCTGCGGCGGTCCTTCTCGAACTCTGCTGGTCGGAGGTCCGCTGCCGACTGCGACCCCCCAAAGGTCCCAGTTGGCTCAAGTCTCGTGTGGGGGATTTAGGAAAGGAGGGGGGGGCCCGTAAAATAGACCCCGATCACCTTGCCTTCTAACAATGGGGAACCCAATAAGGTACCCCTAATGTCGTCAACCCCCGTGTGGCTTCTGGGTTTAGGGCTCATTCATCTCGGAAGGCCTCAATAACGGGAACGGCAAAGACTTGAGGTTTTGGTCCATTGGCAATGTTTCAATGTTGAAGATTTGTATGGCGAACATAATCTGCACAATGCGTGTAGGCCCTAAACTCACAGGCGCCAGGAGATGTGGATGCAGCAGATCCAGTAACATGGAACATTGCGTGGAGATCACTGGGCACACAGGCACCCTTCCAATCCCAACTCGCTACATACACGCAAAGCCATGTACCCAGCTGCCTGAAGGCCAACATCACTCTTTTTTGACGAAGACCTTGAACCCCAAAACCTCTACGCTCAATATTCGGCTAAATCCGTCCATCTCAGCCCCAAACCTTTTGACACTTGGGATGGCGGGTTTTAAGGCGCAAAGATGTCTGCAGTACATGTTTCCATGCCTCGTCCTCTTTGTGCAAACTTGAACATGAGCCATCTCCCAAGCCCCTAAATGTTGCCCTCTTGAGGCCTCTGTTTGCATGGTCTGGGGATTTCTAAGGTCGGCCAATCCCCCGAGGACGGTGTCGCGGCCAGTTGAATTAAAAGTTCCGTGGTGCGCCGTACGAAATATTCCTAGGACGCCTGGACAACTTGATCTTAGAAGGGAAACTCCCGGACCCGAACAGTCGAACTTGACTGTATGGCGGGCACTGTCAGGCCTCAGACACTGAATCCCCCCCCCCCCCCCACCTTGAAGGACTTCATCTGCTCGGACATCTCTGCCATCAGCTTCTTGGCCTCACAACACTTTGCGGTTTAGGGTTTAGGGGTTGAGGGTTTAGTCAGATGGACAAACTTTTTGGCTCTGGAGGGCACGACAAGAAGCACAAGCTGGAGTTGCCGTTGAGCTTGCGCACTCAGCCTCCTGATTTGTTCCAGAAAAAGCCGCGGCAAACCTTTTTTGGGGCTTAGGGTTTAGGCTTTAGGGTTCGGCATACATTCGGAAAACACAGCACGTAATTCCAACACCTAAGGAAAGCAGCCCAGTGGACATAATCTGTGGTGGTTGGTTCTGTATCCTTCCACCCTCGTACTGTAAGCAAGTTGCGCCCACTAGCCACATCAATATGTTTTGCAGGAACGGTGCCATCGCAAGACATGAAGATTTATGGTTCCATGGCAACCCAACTTGGTAGGTCACGTTCAAACACACCGGATATTCAACAGAATCAGCACGATTTGATTTTAGATCGTTTCTGAAGCTGAAGACTTGCGAGTGAAGATTCCAACCCCGAAAACCTGTGGCGACCGCACTCGTCGGCTTACTGAGGTTCATAAAACCGGAAGAGAGGGAGCTGCCCCCCCCCCCCCCAAACAAAAAAAAACAAAACAAAAAAGTACCGGCTTTGGACTCGGGGCTTCCCAAAGTGTTCAACACAAGTGTTCAAAACTTTGAATTCAAGGGTTGAGGGTTAAGGCTTAGGGTTTAGGGTTGGGATGTTCCCCTTCGTCGCAACAGCCCTTATAGGGATCATAATAGGGGGTACTATAATCCCAATTCAGGACGGCTAGTATAAGGGGGAACATCACAGGTTTAGGGTTCAGACTGGAAGCTCCCAACACTGGAGACCCTGATGCAATTCAGTGATCGGCAAGAGCATCGTCGTCCATGCAAGCTTCTGCGCTTGTGTCCTGGTTCAGGGTTGAGGGTTGTTCCAGAATCGGGACAACCAGCCGATGATGGGATTCTGGACTGAGATTCCCTTAGACTCAATTAGGGCTTGGCTTGTGGGGCCTGTTGGTTCGACATGGTTTATGGAGTCCGGATGGCCGGCCGCACCGACTTGCTTCTCCTCAAGTCCTACGACCACGACTCGAGGGGAGTTAAATCAAAAGGCTGCTTTGCTAGCTAAGGGTCGACGATGTGGAGATTGGAAAGTTGGCAATGCAACATGTGGCATCGCAGAGAAAGTGGCGGAATCACTCGAGAGGTTGCACATGCAGTTGAATGCACTCTCGTTCCTTAAGCAACTCCACATGGAACTGCGTTCATACTGCCTGCAAACTTGCACTGCAAAGCCGTGATTTTGATAACGAAGACCTTACTGAACCTAGATGCAAGCTCTTCAAACTCTAAGTCTGTAACGCTTGGTAGCCCGAAACCTTATGATGGTAAGGGTACCCCTTTTTTGGGGTTGGTTACTCCTAAGGGAACCTTGCACCAAGAAAAGGGCAAAAGGGTGCCACTGCGTTAACAAACAAGAACTTATATACTAACTATTCCCTAAACCCTAAACCCCAAACCCCATATGACATCGTGGAAGCCGGCTAGAGACCCGCGGGAACCACGAGCACACGCCAAAGCCCCGAGCCCTCAGAGGCCTTGTCGTCGACCTTGATCTTCATTTCCCGCGGCTTGAAGTCTGGCACCTGCCAGTGCTGAGAAAGTGGTCTATAGGGTTTAGGGTTCATTCAGGGGATGATTAGTAAAGTGCAGCACTCCTTAGGCGTTTGGACTAACGTGTGCCTCCTGACTACACCTCTTACACCTGTGGTGTTCCTGCTCAACCCTAAGCCTCAGTGCTAGACATCCAGGCCCGAGTACACTTGCTATGGTGCGAATGGTGAGCAAGGCAGCAATTATTAATGTGCCTAGAAATTGAAGCGCTACCTGCAAACATCAGAGAGTCTATCTGGTGGACAGAGGTTGCAACTAGCTTACGTGGCCCGTCTTGTACTACGATCAGGAGCTTGAGGGTCTTTAAGGGTGCAGAAGGTGCAGGAGCGAACCTCCCCCCCAAGCCCTTGCCCTGACATATCTAACCTCTATCGCTCAGAGCCTGAAACCCCGAACACTGAGGTTGCTAATTACACCTTCAGCTCGAAAACCCCAACCTGCGAACGTACGTTTTAAGCTTCGAGGGCTTTAGTTGAAGCTCTTGGCCTTCACGGCCGCTGCCATCTTTGCCACCTGTGCGCGGTCGCGATTCTCGGGAACGCCTCGCAGGCTGCGATCGGCTTCTCCAGCTGCTTGCGGATGTTTTTGAGTAAACTCTACCCTACCCCACATCATAGGTTGACCTTTGACATCGGAGATCCAGATTGGGAAATTTTGGAATCTGTGGCTTCGGGCATTCTAGAGGCTTTGCTCTTCAAGTTTCTTGAGTGTGCATGGCGTAGCAGAAATGGCGCTTGGAGCTGTGCAGACTCAGGACTGTTCGAGCTGGGTTCTACCGAAGGCCCTCTCGACTCAGCCCCAAGCAAAGCTCTCTTACTGCGGTGCTCCCTGGCCTAGGCTTTATGTTCCCTTCATAATTATACTAGTAGAATAACCACCAAAACTTAACCCTATTCTAATTATTAAGGCCCCTATATTACTGTGGTGCTCCCTGGCCTAGGCTGGTGGCATAAAGGTTGGCAGCCGCAAGGAGGAAGTCGACGTGCAGCGCGTCGTTGGCATCGAACTGCGGAGGTTCCAAGTGCGCAACTACGGCGACCCGAGAGCTAAGGCGAGAAACTGGGCACAACAGGGGCCTGTAATGCATCCTCATAAGGTCGTATAAAGGTCCTAGTAAGGTCCTAATATCATTATTTGAGAGTGGCTTTTGCAGTTTGAGCGGTTTCAGGAACTACTGTGGGGCACCGGACTGCTTCCTTTCCGGCGAAAGAGGCTTCCGTTGTTTAGCTTTCGCGGGCCTGCCTCTCAGTAGCATGAAAGCTCGCAGCATGATGTGGGACTGATGCGGGCTTGTGTTTCTGTTCCCCAAGCAAGCCCTCAACATCAAACCTGGAATCTAAGAGGGCGATTGCAGCTCACGAAATATCTCGGAGAGTTCGGCTATGGTTTGAGGGATCGGGGTTTGAGGGATCGGGGTTTGGGATTTAAGGTTCCGGATGTCGAAGCTTAGGGTTTTTTGCTTCTCAGGTTCAGTACAGCTTGCGAAGACCTCCTAAACCCTAAACCCTAAACCCTAAACCCTAAACCCTAAACCCTAAACCCTAAACCCTAAAGGGCACTTTCAAGACTTTGCTTCGACGATTCAGCCCATGCCTTGATCGGCGCCGGCGGACGCTTTGGTCCACTCCAGAACTTGGTGCCTTCGGACGTGACCTGATACTTGGGATGTTCCCCCTTATACTAACAGCTCCTTAATGGGGATTATAGTACCCCCCCCCCCCCTATAGTCCCTGTGAATAAGGACTGTTCGTATAAGGGGGAACATCCGACCTGATACCATCACGTACAATCCTTGCGATCCCAATAGCCCGACCCAAAGCCGAAAAAAACCCAAATCTGCCACCCACCTAGGTTCGACTTGCAGTCGCACTTTGGTGACTGGGGCTCCGGGTGATGCTTCTGCGAAAGCAGCCAGCTTCGGGCTCGGAATCGTTTGAGCTGGTTGGCAACTGGTTGACAGTGCTTGGAACATCTTGGAAGGATCTCGGTCATAGAAGTTGGACCCAGTCTGCACATCAAGGTCGCTCATGCGGGGTGCCTGCAGGGTGCTTCAGGCGCAGGCGCTGAGAATACCTTAAGCCACAGACCTGAAGAGTAGACCTTCTAAAGTCAAAGAGAGTAGGACTCAGAATCATTTGCCAAAAAGGAGCCTATGCATCCTATGCCCAATGCCCGCATGCCTAGAACCTTGGAAGAGCCGTAAGAGCTTCGGCAACCCTTTTAACGCCATTAGCGTTTGTAGAGGCTTTCAGGAATCTGTCCCGTGAATCTTTCAAGTGTTCCGCCAATAAGGCCCCAGGCGTGATCCAGCGGGAAGGTGTGGAGCAGCTGCACGATGGAGTCGTGAAACCTTTGCTTCAGCTTCAGGGACTTTGAGCCTTCGGTTCTGAACTTCACGGGGGGGCGCTCCCAAAATGTTTCTAGGAAGCCTTAGCCTTATCGCAACCTAGGATGCCCCTCACTCAGAACACATACGGACGTCTGGAGCAGAACTTGGAAACCGTATGCTACTCACATGAGTGCCGGTCCAAGAGCTACTCAATGGGCAACAAATCCAGCAATCATGTGCGACTGTTGTTGTCATCTTCTGAAACTAGAATACATAGGTAGGGGTCAGGTTGTTTACTCATGCTGTTTCTGGACGCTTGGGACGCAAGCCCGACCTGCCAAAACACAGCCAAAGGCCCTTGCTCGCGACTTTTTGCTATGATGCCGAGCTAGTACAGGGGCGACGGACCGAGAAACATTCCTCATGATGCTGGGCTTTCACAACCTCCTTTCGGCTAAAGTCAACCCCTCCGACCTTTTCGTGATGCTTTAACAAAATCCCAACACAACCCGCAACAACCCGCACCTTGCAGCGCTAGAAGACGTAGTTGCTGACGCATGCCTTGGGCCGCCACTTCTCCTGGAACTCCATCACTGCATACTCGGCACACGCGTCGAAGGGCTGCTTGCGCTGGCACGAAGCACGCTGTCAAGGTGCGGGGTTGGGGATGTGGAGCGTACAGTTATGGGGTCTGTGGTTCAAGCGGATTCAGTGGTTCTCAAAATAGTGACCCAACATGCATTTACCTTCGGCGAACCATAACCCTGCGAGAACTTCAGAGACATCGAAGGCAGTTCGTTAAGGGGTATAAGGAGGGACCCCTAGAAGGGACCCTTAGTCTTATTCAAAACCCCTACCTTAGATAGTCCCTAGAAATCTAAGAAGCCCCGAAGTAACCCCTAAAGAACCTCTCAGGCCCCTTACAAGGGTCCCTCCTTTAGTCCCTTGAGTTTGGGGCTTGGGGGAGGTTTGGGCCCTACCTTCTGCAGCATTTGCTGGAGGGAGCGCAGGCGCTGCACTTGTGACGTGCCGGAGCCCATGGAGGGCACCTTCTTCAAGTACCTCTTCAATGCAAGAGAATCTGAGTTTAGGGTTTAGGGTTTAGGGTTTAGGGTTTAGGATTTAGGGGACTCTGGGGTTCGCGGGCTCAGGGCTTTAGGGTATCTTGGGGAACTGGCTACGGTTTCTTCAGAAAAAGACTTGAACAGGTCTGGGCTTTGACGATTTGAGAACTTGAGAGCTCGAAAATGCCCTGCGCGATTCGATAAAGCTTTAAAATCACTGAGAACCCTGCAAGCACGCTGCAAATCAGATTCAAGCTGCTAAATAGCTCCCGTAAAACACGGAAGGGCCATGCAATCAGTTGAAGTCGCACATACAAACACAAACCCTAAACCCGAAACCCCAGCCTCAAACCGCGAATCACAAAATCCTGCCAAACCTTCCGCGGCATCCCCTCAACACCTCGAATCCAAAGCCTCAAAGGCACTATATTGACTATAGCCCCCAAGCAGATTGAATACACTGCGCAAACCGGTGCAGCAAGCCAATTATTCAAGACTCTTGATGTAAGTTCAGCCGCCGGGGCTCGGACAGGTTCAGGACGACTGGTGGTCGTTGTTGTGCCGGGTGGGCTATTGTTGGGTGCATGCCGGAACTCATGCCAAATTGCACTCGAAGCCCAAAGCCCTAAACCCCAAACGTCCTGAACACCTGAAGCCGGAACTCGACCCTGCAAAAAGAGGTTGAGGACGCATATGCCAACAACCGGCAGGGCACGACTCCGGGTCTTCGAGGAAGTTGTTTCCCTGCGCATCAGGAACTTGCATAATCCCTGCAGTACTGTGTTCAAAACTTAGAGTGCCTCGCTCTTCGGAATGCCAAGACGGAAGAGACAACTTAGAATCTTGGGCTGCGCAGTCGCTCGTCTGTAAGGCACCCTTCAAAAACCGCACGAATAGGCGCACCTACGTGATTGCAAAGCAAAAACAGGTGCAAGAGGGTCGAACGCGTTTTTTCTGTGCGGTCGCTCATGTTTCGCGTCTTAGGCATCCGACAAAGCACCCGAATAGGCTCTATACGCGACCGCGGAGCACACAAAACACATTCGGTGATTATAGGGTCATGGATCGCCCATTCTAAAGCCCATGTGTACCCACTCAATTCCTCAAATTAAGCTTGAGCTTGGCTTCCTAGTGGCACTGTTGCCGAGCACGCTGCAGATCCCAGTTGGCTTCATTGCTCCACTGTGGCATAAGCCCCAAAAAGCCTCAAGCCTTGAGGCCTGGATGCCTTAGCAAGAGTCAACCACTCAACTTGCGGCTCTCCACGAGCAGAAGCCGTGAACCACATCTTAACATACGCGGGGGCGCGGAGCTTCGGGCAATCACTATTGGAAAAGAGGACTCTCTTGCTTCTCTCTCCAGAGTCCAGTTTCTGGGGTCAGCATTCTGAAAAATGGTGGGCCGGGGTGGGGTGGGGGGGTCACACTACTTCAATAATATGCTGTTCCGGCAACAGTTCCGGCAAGATCTCGTGCTATACTGGGGCTTTGACAACAGGCCCACTTACACCGCACATTCACCCCAATACCTGAACCCTAAACCGCAGAACGAAACCTTGAAAACGCGCCAAAACAAATCCAAGGCATCCCCGGAATCTAAACCCTCACACTGTCTCTGTGTGTGTGTGTGTGTGTGTGTTTTCGTGTGTGTGTTTTCGTGTGTGTGTTTTCGTGTTCGTGTTCGTGTTCGTGTTCGTGTTTTCGTGTTCGTGTTCGTGTTTTCGTGTTCGTGTTCGTGTTTTCGTGTTCGTGTTCGTGTTCGTGTTCGTGTTCGTGCGGAAGATGTGCCGTCCTCGCGGGGGGTCTCCACAAAGAGCTGCTCGAATGCCTCCCGTGCCTTGGTGTAAATTATTCCTGGGGTTTGGCGGTTTGGCCATTAGGGTTTAGGGTTTTGGGTTAGGGGGGATGTTTCCGGTATACTTTGGCAAGGTTTGAGGTCAATGTGCGGTGTCAGGACTCTAGAGGCCGTACGCTGGACCCATACAAGAAGTTATCGGACGGCCGAGGCACCCGAGAGAAGCCTCAGCCCGAACTTGAGCTTGGCCCTCAAGCCTTAATCTTCTAACCCCAGACCCTCAAAAGGCTGCTTCCTGAACTTTCTATCCCCAGACTTCAGACATCTTCAAACTGCAAAGCTTCACAAGCTCAACAAGGGCTCTAAACCGCCCACGCCCTTGCACTTTATAGGATCTTAGGATCTGTAGTTCAGCATCATCGCTTCTTAAGCGCTGTCGTAGAGTAGAGATGCGCTGTCATCCTAACGAGCTCCTGAAATCTCAAGAAAATGAAGTGGCCGGGTTCGGGCTCGTAGCTGAGGGGTTAGGGTTTGGAGGTGTACGGTTTACTGCGAAGGCTTCTATAGACTCCTCACATTTGGATCCCAGAGTTCAGGATAAACCTGGCTCCCGCTTCACACTGAACATGGCCAGCGGCCCACTCGATGGTGTGCTCGATGGCATTCGGGAAGTGCTGGACGAGAGGCAAGAGCGTGTGGAATCAGTCTCAAGCTTAAGCTACTGAGTTGCATAAGCCGCAAGGTCCTCAAACTCAAAAGCACTCACAAGACCCAGAAGTCCAAATTCCTCAAAGGCCGCCGAGCCGGAGAACAGCCAAAACCCCAAGGCCTGAACCCAAAGTCGAGCCACCCCCTACACCCCTCAAAGGCTTCTAGTTTGTTTAGAGAGGGCTTGAGTCGCCCCTTTTGGTATGAAGAATGCAAACATTCACATTATTAAACTCGCTATCATCCATCAGCTCATATGTAATATATATGTACGCTGCACGATATGCGCAGTATAAAGGTTCAGGGTACTTCGGGGGGTCGTGGTGGCACACGAACCCCCAGTTCGTGAGCAACACTCTCGCACAGGATGACATCGCCTAGAGCTTCCATGCCTGGGTTCGTGTCTTGGGAAAACATCGAAACGATCCAAGCCCTGAGCCCCACATAATTCTCGGTGCTGGTGGGGCCGAACCCTACGTCAGTCACCCGCTCTCAACATGAAGGCGCCTTGACGGTACAAAGCGGGATCGACTCCTCTGGAGGATCCTCCGTCAGTGATGCCAGATGCGGTGAGGCTTAGACCACAAACCAACTCAACTAGGACCTAAAACAAGGGAGGGTTTGAGACCGCTAATAGGGGTGCATATAAGCCACGGCTTTTGTTGGGCCCTCCGCTACGCCTTTGCTGCAGGAAACCTGGTGCCCCGAGCCTGCGAGTCTCCGTAGGACTGCGTCATCTTCGGCCTTTAGTGTCAAGCCACGGATGACAGGAGCTGCTGGGTCAACGTCCGCTTGTGCTAAGCTGCAACATGTTTCTGCATGGATGCGGGCCCGGAGCCCTTCTCACAAGCCTAATCCGCCTCGAAGTACTCAGAACCATGCCTTCGAGGGTTGAGTTGGTATGGCGTTGAAGGTTCTACAACACACAGAACATTGGACGTATCTGCTATATTGGACTATATCGCAGAGCCCGGAACCTAAACCAGGAAAATTAGCTAAAGTTGCCGCTGCCCTCCTACCACACACACCCAGATCTGGGGCTCACGCAGCACCACCTGCACATTGGCTTTTGTACCCAGCCTGCAGGAGACTACAACAAGCCGGGCAAGAAACCAAAACCGACAAAACAAAACCGGGAACTCCTGGAAACAATGCTCATTTATGTTCTGTCTGTCAATTGTTGTGTTGTTTTCTGGTTTTCTTTCTTTGTGCTGGTGGGCTTTGTGTTTTAAATTTCCATACCTACGTGAGACAAGTCATGAATGCGCAAAAAAAGGCAAGGGGGGATACCCGCATGCCCATATAAAAGGCATATATGTATATTATGTATACATAATATATATATATATATATATATGTATACATATGATCAGGGTGCGCCCGTTCCCCTCTCTCCGCCCCATGGTGCCCCTGGTGCTGTTGTATCCCCCCACCTGTGGTGCTTGTAGATTGGGATAAGTTCAGGGCTTTGAGTTTTGGGTGGAGGTTAGGATCTGGGACAAGGGTCTCGGGGGAAATGTGGTTGTGGGGTTCTGGGATTAAACTCAAGGGTTCAGGCTCAGGACTATGGTTGCAGGCTTTTTGGCAAAGGGGTTAGAGCTGGGGCTTTCGGGCTTCAGGGGGAGGGCCAGAACCTCCATTTGACCAAGTGCAGGTTTCCACGGCATCCTTCTGGTCTGAGGGATCTTGAAGGGCTTCGGTTTCATTCAGTTCTGAATCCCACGCGCTAGACAGCTCTCTGCAGGTCCAGTGCTTGACATGCCCATCGCCAGAAGGCGCGCGCGCGCGCGCCGTTCTAAGAACTGCTGCAACTCCTGTCGAAACCTTCGAATTTTGGGGAGTTTTGCTCGGCGTTTGTGGTTCATGCCCCTGAGCCCTCAACATGCCCTAAACCCTAAACCCTAAGCCCTACATCCCTAAACCCTCAAGGTTTCCAACCTGGTCCATCCTGAAGCTTCCCTCCACAGCTGGCACGATTAGGGCCCGGGCGTCCCGGACTCCAGGAGCGGCTTACTAAACCACACGCAGCGGGAGTCCACGTACATGCGGGCCTGTGGGGGAAGCGGGGAACGGGGGTGCGCGCTGAAGTGGGTATGTTTCTTGCAGAGCATCATGGAGAGGAGGATGCATGGCAGGTTTTGCCGGTTGGAACGGGAAGAGGGGAAGCAGTGGATCGACATCCAGGACGCCATCTCCGAATGTTTAAAGGAGCCGAGGCTCCAAAGCTGTGAGCCTGGAAGCCAACATCTAAGGATATCCAAGGCCAGCAAAGCCCCCCAAGCCCCAGAGCCTAAACGCCACGCCCGAAACCCCCCAAGACTTTGACGCCTGGATGTTGTCGAGAGCATTGACCACGCAGTCCAGGCTATCCCAGAACTCGTCGTCAAAGGTGTCTTCTGTGTCTGGCCCCACGCCTCAGGCCGCTCAAGCCCGTTCAAGTGGACAGAGGATTTGATTAAGAAGGTTTTGAAGGTTTCAGGACTGGGGCTCAGTGGGACTGCTTATGTCTAGGGCCCCATAGGGGCTGGGCACTCCGAGGGCGAGCATGTCATGCTTTCCGGACATCTCAGAAGCGCACCCGAGACAGAAGAGACCACATATGAGGCGTCGGCCCAAACCACCCCCCCTAAGCCTCAAATTGTTTCTCATATGGGCTGGCGGCGTCTTCTCTCTGCTTCGTATGCTTTTCCAGTTTTCTTCTCTTCCTATGCCTATTCCGCTCAATTCGTCCGGGTGCGTTTCAGGATAAGCAGAAATCCGAAGTGCTTTCCCAGCGGCCTGGAGCAATGTTACTTTAGAGCTTTGTAGGGTTGAACTGGTTCCAAAAGCTTAATAAAGTCGTGCGCGAATGTTCACAGTCTGGTGTTTTAGGGTCATGGGGCTTGGGGCTTGGGGGCTTAACCCGAAGCCCTAAACAACCACACTGAATCACTGAAGGCAAGGGGCGTACTTCCATAGCTTCCACCTTCAGGTCGGCGTTCATCGCCTGCTTTTTTAAAGCGGCTTCTGGGCTTTCAGGCGCATCTTGAGGGTTTGCAGGTGCAGAGGAAACCCTAAACCCTAAACCTCTTTTATCGATACAGAAACCTCTCTAGCCATGCCGTAGTCGTTGCTTTGGAGGGCACCTCGCTCCTTCAAAACGCCGTTGCAACCCATTGAGGTGTGGCCACCGTCTTACAAGCAGGCTCTAAGTGGGGCTTCTTCCGTGTGTGCTGCGTGTCCTTCCGACAAGACGTTTTTGCTTGGTAGTTTGCTTCATGTCTGCACAAACATCAATGCTACAGAAGACACTTTCGGGGCACCGAGGCAGAAACGTGGGAGAACTGCATTGAAATCTTAACCTACACACCAAGACCCTCATCCTCAACATTCAAACCCGAAACCCGAAACCCGAAACCCGAAACCCTAAACCCTAAATCCTAAACCCTAAACCCTAAACCCATGGGCGGAAGCATCCCAGAGGGCTCTCTTTGCAGGCTTAAGAGCACCCTGTCCTTGGCAGCCCGCGCCGCCACCTGCGATTTCGAGCTGCCGACGTCCGTCCTCAGTAGGGAATGGATGGGTTTTCTATAGGGCCCCTAATTCCCTCATTCCCTACTAAGAACCAGGGGAAAAGGGCTCTCAGGTTTTCAGATGCACATAGGCGCACTCAGCTTAGCAACTTTGCCTGTGTGCTCAGCTTTGAGAGGCAGAAAGAATAGCAATGCAGTGGTACCAGAACCAAGTGCAGGCGCTGGCATTAGCGCGTGCTCATAAGTCTTTTGAGCTCTCTGGCCAGGGAGCCTCTACAGCCAATCCTAAACCACTCAAGTAGTTCTGGGCCTTCGGGCTTCCTTGTGTTTAGAGTCCCTAGGCAATCCCACAAACCCTAAACCCTCAACCCGCAACCCTAAAAACCCCTAACTTCGCGGCATGTTTTGGCTCGAGGTGTTCCGGGTCAGTGGTGCCCGTGAGGGATTTCGGGTTTTGTTCCCTAAGCCCTTAACGGTACTTCCAAACTTAGACCTGGCACCACACCACATTCCACGCTGGGCTTCATGGGATCTGTCGAGGTTTAACAGTCTACTGGGGTAATCTTTGCATAGTCAGCAGGCTGTCGATGCAAGGCAGCCATGCTACTTGGCAGGTAGAACATTAAGCCCCAAAACCTGCTGCCCAGCGGTGCCGCCAGGAATTCCGGCGGCAGCCGGTCGTTTGCAGGCGCTCATTTTCTGCGGCGATCTCGCACTGAAAAAGGTTGGTGGCATGGAGCTTGGAGTTTTCGGCTTGAAAAGCGCGAGGGGGTTCAGGTTTTTATGACTTCAAGGCTGAAGGCTTAGCATTTTGGGGGTGCAGCCGGTGTTCTGGGAACTTAAAGACTAAAGTAACTAAAGCAGCATTACTTGAGGACCTCGGGTAGCCCTGGGGGTGCAGGGGGTGTTCTGGGAACTTGAGACTAAAGTTACTGAAGCAGCACTTTGTTACTTCGGCTGAACTCCAAGCTCGGCCACTGGTCGGAGGGCGCACCCCCGTTCATCCTTGCTCTTGTGCCCAGCATTCTTTTAGCTGCATCCAGGCCTCGTCGGCGTGCAAAACAGCATCGTTCGATTCCTGCAAACTCTTGAGCAAATCACCACGGACCCCACGCTCGCCAATCTGTCGTTGTTGTTGCAGGCTGTGATCCGCTGAAGAGCTACGCTGAGCTCGGGCGAGAAGTTCATGGCAACCTGTACGAAAGACAAGAAATGCGAGTTCTGCCGGCTTGGCGTCTGACATGCTGCGGCGTTACAGCTATAATTGAAAGCACCAGTGCATGACGGATGTGGCGACGCAATCCTTTGTTTACTGGGCTGCCATTCTTAGGCATCTTGAACCCCTGAGTCCGAGGCTGCCCTTCTCCAAGGCTTCCCATCCCTCTTGATCTGAACAAACAAAGCCAACACTGAAAGAAACTGCGGGTTTGGGAGATCATGCACAAGTTCTGCATGTTGGCTCTCGAAATCTGCGATGCCTACGACGATGACGACGATGAAGAGGAGTCGGAATCGGAGCCTGGGTCGACGGGTGCAGGCTTTAAGAGACCAATGCGCCGCACTACGCATCTCCTACGGAGGTTTACGATATTAGGGGGTGCCCTATTGGGGTTCTTATTATAAGGGGATCCCACTATCTGGGGGTGCAGATTAGGGGCCCCTTATTCTCGAAAATCCCCACTGTATACAGCACCCGTGATTCCTTCAAAGAGGCCCCCCCGATTTGAAAGGAAATGTCGGTCTCGGTTCGGACGAAGGGTTTGCTCTAAGAACCTGAAAACTCGGTTCGGGGGGGGGGGGGGGCGGTAGACCTTCACGAACGGTGCCCCGCTGTCACACAGCAAAACTTCTCAGAAGTTCAGCTCGGTGGTGGAGTTTCTCAACCAGAATGGGGATCCTGCTTGGCATGGCTGTTTAAGTGATGAAGGGTCTCAGGAAAGGACCAGTCTTCCAACCAGAGTGTAAAAGATAAGAGGCCTACACTCTAAGCCCTTCAGCCAACACTCGCATGCTACAACCTTCAGCAATCGGCCACCAATCTGCGATTCTTCGTCGCAATGTCAAAATTTGCCGCAAGCCCCCAAACCCTCCATTTTGAGACCGGGCTGCTAAACTACAAAGATCTGCGAAGCCTCGAAAATTATCAACGCCTCACCCAACCTTTCCACAACTCTCAGTCCGGCGCTTTCTGGATCCGATGCGGCCTGTCCGGCGTAACACAAGCCCGACAGTAGTTACTTCAGTCTGAAGAGAACCTATTCTGTAGAATGTTTGAGAGCTCATGTTAAAAAAACCAAAATAAAACAGGAATATCAGCAGGCTTGACGGGGATTAGGGAACAGGTTTTCAGTCGGCTTGAGTGGCTAGAGGGTCCGCGAAGCACGTGCGCACGCTGTACGCTGAAGGAAAAGGAAGCGTGGCTTAGGGCATGGGCCGCCACACTACAAACATAACTTCAAACACATCTCTTGCCTCATCCTTGGCGTCCTTCAGAGACAGCCTCGGATGACAAACAGTACTAGGCGGCAAAGCTATGGGTGCTGAGCCTCCCAATCCTGCTGAGTGGCACTCTCCTTGCAGTTGTGCCCATTCGTTGAAGCACTTCACGGGCCACCTGCCAGAGGTGCACTGAGCAACGGCTTAAGCGTGCAGGGCTTCAGCAAAGCTCAGCAAAGTGATAAGAGTAACCCCCCTCAACAAATAGAAGTCATGGGGGGGAGGCAACTTAGGAGGGGGGGGGGGGGGGGTGGCTTAAATAGGGTCTATTTGGAAGCTGAGAGTCGTGTTTTGGTGTGGTAGATAGAAAGGAAAGGGCATGATAAAGTAGCGAGAGGAGCTCTTCAATTCCCTTCCTTATCTCCTATGCTCTTTTCCTTCTTTATTGCAACAGGAGAAGACAGGAAAAGGGCTTCCATTCCCCACTTGTTCTTCCTTTCTTGTGTTTTTGTCATTTAGAGGGGAACAGGAGAAGAGGAGGGAGAGAGAAGGAGAGGGGAGAGAGAACAGGAATCCAATTTCAGTGGAATAGCAAAGAAAAGAATAGAAGAGAGATGAATAGAGAAGAGGGAGAGACAAAACGAGGCGCTGAGAAGATGGCACTCTTCTTTATCTATCCTATCTCCCTTATCTCCTTTACCTTCCTAGGCTTTATCATTCAAGTTCTTTTCTTGTGTTTTATCAGTTAAACGGAAACAGAAGGAGAGAAGGGAACGGGAAGTGAGAGAGGAGAGACAAAAAGGAGGCCATTTTAATTTTCTGGAAGGGTACTGAACAGAAGAGAGGAGACAAGAAACAAGGAGACGGAGGAACACAACAAGGCGCAAAGAAGATGGCACTCTTCTTTATCTATCATCTCTCCCTTCCTTGTCTCTCCCTTTTCCCTCTATTATTAAAAAGGACAAGACCTCTTCGCAGATAGGTGCCCTCTCTCTTCTTCAGGAAGCCCCCTTGCCCTTATTTTGCTTGCCTTCTGAAACGACAAGGAAAACAACACATAGAAAGAGAGGAAATGGAATGAACCAATAGGCAATGGAGCTCTTCAATTTCTTTCCCTATCTCTTTTCTTCTTTTTTCATTCTTCATTCAACAAGGAAAAGAAGCTTCCTTTTGTGTGTTTTTGAGATTTAAAGGAGAACAAGAGAAGAGAAGGGAGAGAGAGAGAGAGAGAGAGAGAGAGAGAGAGAGAGAAAGGAAAGAGGAGAGATCAAAAGGAATGCAACTCTAAATGGAAGAGCAATGAAAAGAATGGAAGAGAAATGAGGACAGGCGAAATGCAAAAATCAGGCAAAGAGAAGACGGTGCTCGTTTTCATCTTTCCTCTGGTTCTTATTTTTCTCTTCTCTTGTTCATTTCCGTTAGAAAAAACAAAAGGAATAACAATGAACATGTAAGCAAACCCAGCTGATGCTCATGATTTTTTCCTTTCTCCCTCTCTCTCTCTCTCTCATATATGGGCGATGGAACGGGTGTCCTTGTTGGGCCGTTTCCTGCATCTTCAAGTGAGGAACCTAAGTGTTTTCTTTTGTTCGTTTGAAGACACAGAAAGCGATTAAAAGGGACGTCCATTTTGGATTGGCAGCCAACCTCTCTCTCCCTATATATGGGCGATGGAATGGGTTTCCTTTTTGATCGTTTTCTGCATCTTCAAGCGAGGAAAAGGGACACCCCATAAGAAAGCACTTAGGGTGTCCCTTTTGCTCGTTTGAAGACACAGCAAGCGATCAAAAGGGACGCCCATTTTGGATTGGCAGCAAACCCAGCTGATGCTCATGATTTCTCTCTCTCCCCATATATGGGCGATGGAACGGGTGTCCTTCTTGGATCGTTTTCTGCATCTTCAAGCGAAGAAAAGGGACACCACAAAAAAACACTTAGGGTGTCCCTTTTGCTCGTTTCAAGAAACAGAAAGCGATTAAAAGGGACGCCCATTTTGGATCGGCAGCAAACCCAGCCGATGCTCATGATTTATCTCTGTCTATATATGGGCGATGGAACGGGTGTCCTTCTTGGATCGTTTTCTGCGTCTTCAAGCGAAGAAAAGGGACACCACAAGAAAACACTTAGTAAGGGTGCCCCTTTTGCTCGTTTCAAGACACAGAAAGCGATTAAAAGGGACGCCCATTTTGGATCGGCAGCAAACCCAGCTGATGCTCATGATTTATCTCTGTCTATATATGGGAGATGGAACGGGTGTTCCTGATCGCTTTCTGCATCTTCAAGGGAGAAAGAAGGGCACCACCCAAGAAGGAAAAGTAACATCAGATATAGGGAGGGAAATTGAAGAGCTCCTCTCTTTACTTAGTCATTCCCTTTCATCTCTTCTTATCTGTTGTTTTCTTCGCTTCAAAAAGCAAAATAAGGGAAAAGAGATTTCCTGAAGAGGAGGGAGGGCACCTATTGAAGAGCTCCTGTCTTTACTTAGTCATTCCCTTTCCTCTCTTATCCGTTGTTTTATTCGCTTCAAAAAGCAAAATAAGCGAAAAGAGATTTCCTGACGAGGAGGGAGGGCACCTATCTGTAAAGAGCAATCGTTTAGAGGGGAACAGGAGAAGAGGAGCGAGAGAGAAGGACAGAGGAGAGATACAGGGAATCCAATTTCAATAGAACAGCAAAGAAAAGAATAGAAGAGAGATGAATAGAGAAGAGGGAGAGACAAAACAAGGCGCAGAGAAGATGGCACTCTTCTTTATCTATCCTATCTCCCTTATCTCTCCCTTCCCTCTTTCTTT